AACAACAACAACAACATACACATTATACGTCATAGTCATGAGTTCTTTGAGTTACTAACTCATATACTATTATATGATTGTTTTTCACTATCATCTAGACTTGAAAAAAACACTTCAACCAAAAGAATACCCCAAAATTACTTGTGTTATCTTCTATAAGATGCAAGAGGATGTGTTCTGAGTAAATTTTTGGCTTAAGAAAATGAGGATAAAATTCTAACGTTTAAGGATATACCTTCTCAGCCATGAGTAATGACAGGTGCCACTGAGGCAATTACGTCCATAGTAACCCTGTGAACAAATCAAAACCTTGCTGTGTATTTGACAGCATCTTCACAATTTCTGCCACTGTTCCAGTCAGTGTCAAACCATCTTGTTCAAGGTCTTTTCTTTCACTGAACCTCTACTTTTCCCAGCATGATGTCTTTTTTCCCAAGGACTGCTCCCAAATAACAGGCCCAAAGTGGTGGTGGTGATATGTGCTGTCAGAATCATAACTGACCCTCCAGCAGGTTTCAAAGGCAGTTGACAGCACAGGAGATTGCCCAACCTTCTGCTGCAGAGTATCTGGTAGATTCAAACTGTGTGCCTTTGTGATTAGAGAGCAGCTTCTTACCACTAGGCCACAGAGCTCCCCTTCTGTCCAAAGTACATTAGATGAATAAATCTTCAAACTTACACATTCTCTGCTTCACTTTTCAGAGAGTTGATTTAGTAATCAAAATCATTCACTGCACATCCCACTCATTTACCTTCAGAGGGTGGTGTTAGTAGTTAAAAACATTAGCTCTAACATCTGGCAGACTGAAGTCCAAATCACAGCTCCATCACTTAACAGTTGAGTGAATTTGCACAAAGTACTACTGTTATGATGTGTAACAACAGGATGCTTTCACTACTTCACAAGGCTGCTATAAATGAAGCAAGTGCTTATAAAGATCTTACTGGTACCTGGGCCCACAAAATGTGCTAGTAGTATAGTTACCACTACTACTGCATAAATGGGTCCAGCATGTGTATGATGATTATTTGCACAAAATATTCTAAAGCAGAAGACTGGTAAAAAATTGATTTAAAAATAAAATAATAATGTTCCTAAAGAAAAATATTTACCTTAAATCAACGCCGCTAATTTGCTCAAAAGTTCTCATGTATTTCCAAATAAATTTGCTTATTATGTGTAAAAGACCTTACCATAAAACACAAACAAATGGAGCCAAAGAAAATCAGATCAATACTGATGACGCATTTTTTCCCCTTAAATCCATGACCCTTTCTTACAGAAATAAGTATTTTGTCCTTTTAGCTTTTATTACCTCCCCTCCCTAAAATTTATCATTAAAATAAATACATGGCTACTGTCTCACACGGCTACCGTACCAGGAATGAGGACAAGTACATGTCTCTAAAAGCAGCTGCACAGAAGTCATTCTAGTTTGTGTTGTGTTTTAAGTTTGGGTTTTAAAAAAAAAAAACAAATAAACTTCAATCAAATAAATATCACTCAGAAATTTTCCAATTTTTGGAACTGTCAGTAACAGCTACAAATCTGAGAGAGCTGCACACTCATCTGTCCAAGAAAAATCCTAAAGAAGTTAAAGTACATTATCAGGCTGATAAAATTAAATTCAGTTCTGCTCTTGGTCAGTTATATACCTCAGAGAGCAATGGTGTAATCTAAAAGTAAGTAAAGAAGAATAACAGGACAAGAAAGAAAAAACTACCTAAGTATGAACTAAAATAGTACCTATTCATTACAGCATCTTAATAGGCCACTATTTAAAATTCTCCAAAAAAGAAAAAAGTTGTCATTATTTCCCTTTGTTTATCATTATCTTTGCCAAGAAAATGTGATGCTCCCCAAAGATTTAGAGACATAGTAAATGCCAGACTTAAGACTGAATTTGCTACTACATAGTGCCACTGTTGCAAAATGGGATGACACTGGGGGTGGGGGAAGACTGAGAAAAATGGAATAAATAATGTATACTGCACTGAAACAGATTAGGGAGAAAACTGTTAAAAAGGGGTATGTGATTAGGTATTATTGTCATGACAGGAGTCCAGAACAAAGGCTACATAGTGGAGTGGAACTGGGGGGAGGGATTGTAAAACAATGAAAGAATTTTTCTTTTACTTTTCAAAGAGAAGAGCGTAGTGTGGAGGAGAGGGATGGGCAGGGAGAAAAGTGCAACAATGAATGAATGGAAATCCAAATTCTCTTCATTTTCATTAAAATCAATTAAAAAAATAATTTAAAAAAAGGACTGAATTTGCTAATTAGAAACCAGTTCCACGTAAATATCACAGCATCTAATACAGAAAACTATCAAACTTTACCTTCCTATTATAGACCCATGATACAACCAATCTGAAATGATTATTAGATACAGGCGTTTTAGGAGGGATGTCCCATTCAAGACTTTGGGGACAGGGAAAGCATTATGGATTGAAAGGCAGGCAGATAGGAATCAGGTAATAGAAACAGTTAACAAATCAGGACAACAGATGACATATCTAAGAACAAAGGGAAGAAAGTATCCCAGAAAAAAATCTTAAGAAAGGGGGAAAAAATGTCCATTCAGGGGAGTAGGGGAAGTCCATTCTGAAGAAGCAAATGGTTAAAACTAGAATACAACTAGTACCAAAGCATAAGAAATAAAAATGAAAGCCTAGAATAAAAGTGACCCTTAAAAGCTAAAAGGATAAAGAATAAGGATAGACTTAAGGAGCTCTTAATCAGTATAAATTCTAATATCATTCTCTCGAGTGATGACAGCCGAACAGTATTTTAGAGTTCCTCTACTCCTCAAGAGCTCCTCTGCTGCTACTGCAGGGCAGCAGTCTAGCTGGTTTCTCCATATCCCCTTCTTGAAAATCTGTAACATTTACTCCATGTCCATTTTAGAATTGTTCTCAGCACGCATGCATGCACATACGCACGCGCGCAAGCACACACAAAAAAAATTACTAAGCAAAATCAGTCTAGAAAATGAACAATTTCTATTATAGTAGTGTCACATGAGTGAATAAAAAAAATTTTAAGTGGGGGAAATGTTCCTTATTTAGAACTATAGATATAAAAATATTCAAGGATTTGACAATTAAAGGAAGAAAAACTAACTAAGGCATAGACACACAAAATCAGAAATCATGACTCTAGTTAGAGGCAGCGACTTGCCAGGGCTAAGATCTTTGTCTTGCCTCCCTCCTCCTCAGAACTAATGATACTTACAAAATTTAATATACTTAACAGAAGAATCATCATCTTATATCCATACAGAAACAAATCACGCCAAGGAGACATTGTCAAGATATCTTTTCTCTTAAGTGCTGAGAGAGTGAAGATTTTTAATCAGCACATTTTTTCTTCTCTCAAAACTGTTCTTATAACCAAAGTTTGGAAGTGGTAGTGGTAGTAGGTAGAGTGGAGTCGAGTTGAGCACAACTCAGAGTAACCTGTGAACAAAAGGTCTGAACCCAGTTCTATACTGCACCATCCTCACATTTCCTAACACACAAGAGCCCATTGCGGCAGTCACCGTGTCAATCCACCTGGCTGAGGGTCTTCCTCTCCTTCGCCAACTCTCCAACCTTGCCAGCATAACCAAAGTTTAGCATTCAACTATTTCATATTTTCTTTATGAATGCTAATTTTCTGTCTGCTCTTCAAAGTTAATGACCATCTTAGGTGTTTTTATTTCCAAGGCTAGCTATTTGTTCTAGATACAGAATAGGCACGGAACATACACATACTAATTTTTACTATATCACAGCAGCTACCCTAGACCACTGAAATCAAAGTAATCATGGGAATATGAAAACAGATTTTCTAATAAAGAAGGGAGGAAAACCCATGGAAGAATACCAATGCTGTAATTTCCGGAATCCTGCTGAGCAAAAGCAGCAAGAAGTAGAAATGTTTTCTTCCTTGATCCTTTCCTGCTCCAGCTTCAGAGTGCCCTTCAGTCTAACTGAATGTGCAGTGTTCCACTCAGGTGTCTATGTTACAAGCAGGGATTTTGGAAGGCAAAAACCAAAACCTCAGTGCAATTAGAAATACTTCCCACAAAAAAAGGAAATGGGAATATTTGTGATAATTCCTCAAATTCTCATTAAAAACTTAAGAAAAAGGTAAATAAAACTGTATTTACAACTCGATTCAAAAGCTGTTTTTATAAATAAATACAATATACTACTGACAATGAAAAGAATCTATGCTCACCCAGAGTTAGCAGGTCTAATAAATTATGAACAGAATACTGCATCAAAAGTAAGGCAATAATAACTTGAGATATCCCATTAAAGATTTCTCTACTCCCACAACTAGACAGAAATTATTTAGCAGCAAATGAGTTTTCATTCAGTTTCGGCATTTCTGAAATAAGGACAGAAGTGATAAAGTGTGATCTTCACTCTTCATTAGACACTTAGAACATTTGAAGGAAAGTAATTTCTAAAGCACAAAGAGGTATAATCTTTCAAAAATATATTCAGTGTTGAAGATTCAAGAATGCAGTATTTACGCAGAATGGGTATCAGGTAAAAATACGCAATGGAATGATGACAACAAATTAATTTATTTAGTACTTTTTCCATTCCATATCATCAGGAGGATTGATTTCAACTTTCCTTTTACCTACATCAGACCAGTTGGTACTCAAAACTGTGCCACCAGATTCCATCTGCAATAAAGAATAAAACTAGATTAATTCCTAGATCATATAATACAAATAATTTTTCTAAAAAATTTCTAAACAGATTCCTAAATATAAGCTATGTTTTTTAAAATAAGCTTAAGATACTATTTTTACTTAATCTTAGGCTTACTAAAGAGGTTAGCATGTTCTGTAGATCTGAAAAGTATATTTTAAGTTTAGAAGTTTCATGATTATATACAATGTCATATAACAATCATACTCTATCAGTAAGCATGTATGACAAACACTTAAGGGAAAATGAAATTAACTCACGAAGAAAAATTTCAAAAATATTTTTTGCTAAAATTTTTCTATACCATTTGGAAATAATTTATGAGCCCCTTCTTAATACTCCATACACAAACACAAATTTTTAACACTTGCATTAAATTTTTTTTTTCTCCGATTAAGTCTTCATTTTATTGCACTAAATGTTTTAACCTGAGGTTTCCACACACAGTCACTGTGTCATTGTGAAGAGTTGCTTATCTACTTACTGCCACTAAATATTCCACTTAATTAGCAGGCCAGCATATTCTCAAATGCATTAAGAGATAGAACCAATGGTGTTTAGTGAGGTGGTTTGGGTTTTTCTGTTGTTTGTTTCCTAAAATATTTATTATAATGAGTAAATTTTTTATTTTCATGCAATAAAGTCCACTGTCTCGGTATTATAGTAAATAATTATAATACAGTGAATTATTAATAAACACTTTAAAATGTTCCTGGCAATCACATACAGTTCTATCCTACTAGGACATGAATCTCACTAGAACACAGTGTCCTCTTTTCTGCCAGAGTCCCTCACAAGGTATTTTTTCCCATCTTAATTATTTGTGTCTATGTACACAGACTATCCACAAGACCTTTAGTTATACAAGTGAAAGAAATGGTTATCATTTACAGTCTAGTTATGTCAGACATTTACAGCCTCGGAACTTCAATGAGGGGTCAACATGAATTGAAATCGACTTGACTGTGGGTTTGGTTCTGTTTTTATTAAGAGTGTAAATGTGCTATGTGAATATGGATCCACACTCAAAGCTAATTTTGAAGTTTCACAAACTCATTTGTCCAATACCCTTTAAAAACAGTATGTAAAATTCAATGCAAATGACTTCCCCTACTTGGAAACAGGGTAGGTACATTTTCCCTATTATTCCTGTGAAGTACAAGTAAAAAGCCTGGGAAAAAATATATTCGTAAACAAAAGAATCTGAAAGGGAAGGAAAGAAATGTAGACTGGCTAGGGACTTTATGACCCAAAAAATAACACGGTGAGCAAATTCCCTGAATGAAATTCTGTGATGAAGACTTTAAGAGTCATGGTAACAAGGTTTCACTAGGTAATTATGAATGCTCTTGGCACAAAGGAAAAAACAGAAAGCCTCATCAAAGGATCAAAAAATCTCAGAAGGGAAATAGAATGAAACAAGGGATCTTTCTATGAAAAGCATAATCACGATCAGTCACTACATTTTTTCATGTATGTAGAGTATTTGAGCCTCATCATTTACTAGTATTTTAACTTTCTACTTTAAGTCTCAGGAGTTCTGGCAGCTTAGAGATGGGAAGGTGCAATGCAATCTCAAAGGCACTCAGTTTAGCTGCTCCACAGAAAATAGAGGGGCAATCTCCTGTGTGATTTCCTGCTTCTGTAAACCTGTTGGAGACCAGCTATGGGTCAGTTCTGACTCAACAGTACACAACTTTAAAGATATATGCCTTAAAGGGGGGGGGGGGCGCTGTGGCTGTGACATTTCCAGAACTACTGGAAAATTCAGATACTTAGAACTTCAAGATAGATAACGCCCATCATTTTAGAATTATGACTTATCATTAATATCACAAGCCTTAAGTCCAATACAGGCTGTAATTATGCTGCTCTGGCAAAGTCTGCATTTTCTTAATAGAGACATTATTAGCAAGCTAGTGATAAATTAATGTGAACTTTCTACTTGTCAAACATTCTTCTGGGATCTATCTTTTAATCTCATATATTGAAACTACACAATCCCAGAAGAAAATAGTGGAAGCTCACTTACCTGTGACAAATGCAAGTGAGATGACACCCATAACCCACTGTAACACTGATACTTGTTCGTTTTCTAAATTCTAACTCACTCATAATAGACACTTATTTGTAGTAAATCACTTGTTTTGTGTATTTTCCACAATATGTAGCAAGAACGCTCAAACTTTCTTGAAAAGTATTCTAGAGTTACAGAAAGATATGTTCATTGAAAATCTATTATAAAAGGTCTCCTAGCTATAGTCAATGAAATTTGCTCTTACATTATTTTACTTTTCTTAAAATAAACTACTTATTTTTTAAATTCCTAAAATATAATAATGTATCTAAAAAAAGACTCATGATCTTACAAATGATTTGTTCATAGCACGTTTCACTTCATCAGAACCATCTGAATAGATCTGTTGAAACAATTTGTTTAAAGCTGCATCTCCCTCCAACTTCTCATTTTTTTCTTCTTCTTTGATCTCTCCAACCAATTTATCCCAATTTCTTGTATAATGAGATGATGAGGGATATAAGTTCTTCACATCTATGAATTAAGAATGAAAAAGTGATTATTTACTATGTATGCTTTGATTATATAAAAAAATTCTGAGACCATGGCACAGCCAGGATCTTGGGAAATATTTTAGGGTCACTGAATTTGATGTTGGTAATGAGAGTATCTTTAAATAGGTATATCTCCAATAACTAGATTTACACTGTTCTGGTGGAGTAGACCTTAAGGAATTGCGTGGTTGATTAAAAGGTCATGTCTCTATGGCAGTACAAATACACCAGGGCTTCGAGGGAGAAAGATGGACAATCTCCTCTCCTGTGTTTTATGAAAACCCACTGGAAGGTCAACTCTCAGTGAGTTCTGACTCGACAACAGTAAACTAAGTAGAGAGTTCAGGTTTACACTAGGGAAAACACAGTGAGCACAATGTAAAATCTGAAACCTACTTCTGAGGAAGGGAAAAAAAAATCAATGAAGTATAAACTTATGGACTATTACACAAAGTTAGATTTTTTTTTTTCACGTAAGTAACAAAGGGAAGAATGTGAGGTACATGGAAACTTAAAGAATTTAGAATACTACTCATCTAAAAACTTTTAAAGTCTAATTTAGGAATTTCTCTGGTAGGCAAGATTTTATTCAATGTTCAAAATGTGGGTTTTGTCTAAGATACGTAAGGGTCTTTCAAACTAAAAAAATACTGGAAATATAACCATCCATGTTACTTAACAGTACGTTAAGATTCCATCCCCATTCCCTATATTAAAAAAAACAAGATTACTTTAAGAGGAAAGAACAATATAAAGTCTTGAATGCTGACAAGTACTACACTTGATCATTTAGCATGCCATACTCAAATTCTGCACACTTAGAAGATAATAGTACTGGAAGGGCACAATGAAATAAATACAAATACACTGCAGCCAGAGAAGTCCAGGGGCTCAGGGCACCTCAAAGGCTGTCCCAAAGATCAAAGCGAACAAGATCTTACTAAACAAGTTCTGTAAGTAATTTTTTTTTTTTAAAAAAGGAGGGGTAGTGGAAACCAACCAAAACTAGCTTACTGAGTAACTATAGCAGCTCTGTCTGGTGAAAATACAAAAGGTGGCACAACATGAGTCACACAGATAATCTAAGAATTTCCAACACCCGCAATAACAGTCTTAAAATTTGTTTTAGTAACATACTTATATTTAATCTAATACATAAAACAACATTTCTGTAGAAGATAACCAAAATATAAAGATATTTTGGTTTTGTCATACAAAGTCTCTAAAAATCATTTATTTCTTTTTAATAGAAATAAACAATTTGAATTTTTAAAAACATATTATGTATGCTTTTTTATATTTTAATGAAAGTTTAAAGAGAACTTGGATTTCCATTCATTTATTGTTGCACATTTTCTTCCGTGCCCCACCTTCCCCTAGTTTGCTTCTTAGGAAAAAAAGCTTTTATTGTTACACAGTTCCCACTCCCCCGACCACTTTACTATGCAACTCTAATTTTAAAATGGGTTATTTATTTTAGACTTACAGAGTATTTTAATTCAGACTAATCACATCTCAAGTATTCAAAAGAAACAAGTACTTTTAAATTCAGAAAGCAATAGCTGTTATCTACAGAGCTTTTAAATACCTGATTGAAAGTTTCCTAACTAATCTCTTTGAATATACCACTAATGTATTTTATCCAATATTGCCTACCTCTTTATATGCCCCCCTCCTCCAAGAGTTGACAAATTACTAACGGTTAATTCTGGATTTTCATTCTTTCTCACCTACTCTGTCCTGCGAATCCTTTTTCAAACTGAAACAAGTTAAAAAAAAAAACACAACCACAAAAAACCTTAGCATGTTGGTCACAGCCAAGTGTATTCCTTCAAAACTTTATCTACTTTCCCCTCTACCAATAATCATTTCTACATCTAGATATTTTCCTTGGTATATAGATTTTTTGACAGCATGTCAGGATAAATTTAGAGTCTGGGAAACAAAGGTTTAATTATTCTCAATAGTAACTCTCAAGGCAAGTAGGGGGATAAAAGAGGTTCTAATCTCCATTTTACAGATAAGAAACCTGTCCCAGATAGGTTAAGTGACTTGTTCTTATCTGCTGCCTCCAGCTTGCAGTACACAGGAATCTGACAAGCATATTAATTTGTTACAAAAACATAATAGGATGAGAAGAATATCCTAAATATCCAAGGTTTTGAGCTGATCAACTTTTACAACTATAGCACTAAAAGAAAGTTTTTACATTTCACTTCAGAAAAACCACTACACCTATAGAGGACAGATGAATTTCTGAAAGGAAGGTAATCTCCCAATCACAATAGTATCAAGGATCAATAGTTGCAAGGATCCTCAAGTTACCAAATTGCTTCCGTATTTAGAAAATGCAGCCCAAAAGGAGAATCACATAGTTTCACAGAAGAACCAGATTTCCACTATGAAGGCTTAGAGTTTAGTACAAAATTATAATAATCACTGTGTGGTCTTAACCAAGTTGTTTGATCTTCTGAGTCTATAAAATAATATTCCACTGCCTATTGTTGTTTTAATTAAGTGGCTTATGACATTTAAGATGCTATATACTTTCATATAGAATGTTAAATGATCCAGGAAGTATCAAGAGAAGATGGAAGGAATACACAGAGTCAATGTATCAGAAGGAATTGGCTGACACAGATATGAGCAAGAGCCTACGGTGATGAAGGAGGAAGTTCAAATTGCTCTGAAGGAATTAGCAAAAAACAAGGCTCCAGGAGATGACGGCATACCAATTGACATATTTCAACAAACAGATACTGCCCTGGATGTGCTCACTAAGTTGTGCCAAGAAATCTGGAGGACAGCCAGATGGCTCACTGACAGGAAAAGATGAATATTTGTTCCCATTCCAAAGAAAGGTAATCCAACAGAGTGGGGAAATTATCAAACAATATCATTACTATCACATGCAAGCAAGATTCTACTCAGAAGAATGTCTATCTGTGCTTCAGTGACTATGCAAAGACTTTTGACTGTGTGGATCACAACTAGCTCTGGCTCACTCTGAGAAGAATGGGAATCCCAGAACATTTGATTGTGCTAATGCGAAACCTATACTTGGACCAAGAGGCAGTCGTCACAACAGAGCAAGGAGACGCTACATGGTTCAAAATCAAGAAAGGGATTCGTCAGGGATGTATTCTGTCTCCATACCTTTTCAGTATGTATGCAGAACAGATAATCCGAGACGCTGGACTGTACGAGGAGGAATGTGGCATCAGGATTGGTGGAAGAATTATCAACAACCTGCGTTATGCAAATGACACCTGAAATACTTGCTGCAGAAGGTCAAGGACTGCAGCCTTCTATATGGATTGAAGCTCAACATCAAGAAAACAAAAGATTCTCACCACTGGGCCAATTGGCAGCATCAGTATGGATGGTGAAGAGATTGAGATACTTAACAGTTTTAGTTTACCTGGCTCCACAGTCAACACTCGTGGTAACAGCAGCCAGGAAAACAGGAGAAGAATTACATTGGGGAAAGTCAGCTATGAGGGCCCTCGCAAGAGTACTGAAGAGCAATGACGTCAGGCTGGAGACTAAGGTGCACCTGTTCCGGGCTATAGTCTTCAAAATTACATGCTATGCATCAGAGTGTTGGACAATGAATAGGGATGATCGAAAGAGAATTGATGCCTTTGAGCTGTGGTGCTAGAGAAGTGTTGAATATACCATGGTCTGCTAGGAGAACAAATAGGTTTGTCCTGGAGAAGGTTAAGCCGGAATGCTCCTTGAAGTCAAGGATTCTGAAGCTTCGTCTGACATTCTTTGGTCATGCTGCAAGGAGGGATTGGTCCTTGGAGAGGGACATGTTTGGCAGAGTGGAGGGGCAGTGAAGGAGAGGAAGACCTTCGATGAGATGGATCGATTCTGTGACTGGAGTGGTGGGAATAAGTGCGTTTGGGATGGCTAGGTTGGCACAGGATAGAACGGCGTTTAGAGCTCTTGTACATAGGGTCCCTATGAGTCGCAAGTGACTTGATGGCACATAACAACAACATATGCTTTCAGCAATATATAAACCTCAGCAAATGTATCTTTGGATGTCAGTCCCCACAAAGACACATGACATTATTAGTAAGTTTCAAATAAAGTGTGAACCAGTAGCCTAATTTTTTAAATCCTAACTTAAAATACCTCAGTCCTTAAAAATTGTCTATTGGTGCCAATTTCCTAGTTTTGCTAATAACAGCGAATGGTTAAAAAAAAAACAAACAGCGAATGGTTAACTGTTATCATTAGAATAAACTAGAGAGGGTGTATCAGAGATCCTCTTTTTTTTTTCCTTTGTAAATCTAAAATTATCTGAAAATAAATTATTTATATCTGTTGGATAACAGTTTTCAAAGAAACTGCCACAAAGACATGTTTTCTTTTATAGAAGTATACAGCCAAAATCTGAAAGTATTGCATTTCAATCATTAGACCACAGCACAAACTCTAATTTAAAAAAAAAAAAACAAACCCAACACAAGAATAACCCTTCACTCATTCAGAGCACTAGCCCTCAAATATTTTCCTCTATTCATTAAATGAAGTCATTGCTATAAAATACAATCTTGGTCCACAACATAAACCATCTTTGAAGTATCCTGAATAATGAACCAGAAGATAAAAGAGATGAATGGGACCTTCTAAGAATCAAATCCATGTGCACATCCAAAAACTTCTCCAACAGGGTAAAAAGGGAAGCCACACACTAGGAAAAAGTATTTGGTAATGACATGTCAGATAAGGGACTTATATCTAAAATTTATAAAGTACTTGAGCATCACAACAAGATAAATGTAAATAATCCAATTGAAAAATGGGCACAGGATATGAACAGACACCACCAAAGAAGACATTCAGACGGCCAACAAGCACATGAAGAAATATTCAAAATCCCTAGCTCTAAGAGAGATGTCAATCAAAACAACTATGAGTTATCAACTCATCCCAGACTGAATAGCGAAATTTAACAGAACAGCAGCAACAAATGCTGGAGAGGTTGTGGAGAAACTGGAACCCTTATTCGCTGTTGGTGG